GCTGGGCTGGGAGGCGCCCTGGGCCAGGGAACACTTCCCTGACCTCAGCACTGGCAGTAGAGAACATGTGGAATCACAGGGCTGGAGCTGGAGTGAATCCTAGTAAAAACAGTGTCATCCAATTTTCTTATTTCACAAATGAGGAAACTAAAGGTGAGGGGGTCACTTATCCAAGACCACACAGCCGCTCTGTGACAGAGGCCAGAACATAGTGGCTCTTAATTAACCCATGCTTGCCCACACACCAATGATTCCTTATGAGGATTATGCACATTCAGCTGTTTTACTGCCTTGATGGGTCTCTGACTCAACTCTTTTCATAAGATACAGACATATACAGGAAGCGCCTGGATTCATTAGTAAAGTTAGGCTAATCATGCAGATCTCACTCCGCAGACCCTGGGTGAGGCCTTTCCATATACCCTGCTTCCAAAACAATTGAAAAGAAACCCAGTGTAAAACAAAAATAAACAAACAAAGCCCCTAAACTTTTCCATAGCGAAATCAGTGTTTTGACATTCCAACTTTGGGATTTGATTGTCAGACAGAAACGATGTGCCTGCCAGTTAGCATTGCTAACAGGCCATCTCAGTTTCTGGGAGATTGCTAGCAGATCTCACAAAGCTGAGGCATCTACACTCAATACCAAACTTGGTTATCAGGCTAGGTTGCTCAGAGAGGAGGTCTACTTCACCCATTCCCCTAGTTCTCTTTCCCCACCTGGTTAGTTGTTGTCTAAATTTTCCTTATTTAACAAAAAAGGAAAGCTCTACATTTTATGATTTTCACTTCACAGTTTTTAATTTCTAGAGATTCAAAGCTAGGTAAGCTCCTCAGTTTTCTCCCCTATTTTAATCAAATGTCTATTATTGGAGTGGTAAGGAAGGGGATATTTTACATGTATATGCAACCTGAACAAGGATAAGCTTAGGTGCCTCATGAAAAACATTAACTTTTTAAAAATGCAGTTTGTGAAACTGCAATAGTCAATAACATGCCCTCTCTGTAATAGACATTTAAAATATATCCAAAGGTAGTATATAAAAATCGATAAACCAGGGAGACATGTCACCTTCCAAATGCCATTTAATTAATGACAACACCAATCTTTGAGTGGTGGGAAGGAGGTTGGAAGTCATAGAGGTCTTCATTTAGGATCAACAGAGCCATAGGTCCCATACAAAGACAGGAGGGGAAATGTATTCTCTTATGTAAGGTATTCATGGCAAAACCCTTTAAAAGAGCTTTATTGAATTATCATTCACATATCATAGATTTTCCCATTTAAAGTCCACAATTAGATGGCTCTTAGTATACTCTCAAAGATATATGAAACCATCATCACAGTTAATTTTAGAAAACGTCATTACCTCCAGAAAAGATCTCATATCTTTGGCTATTTTCCCTCTACCACCCTCTTATCCTCCCATCCCAGGCCTAAGTAACCACTAATCTCTTTTCTATCTCTATACTTAGATTTCCCAGTTCTATATGTAACATGAATGAAATAATGTGATATGTGGTGTTTTGCACCTGGCTTCCTTCACTTAGCATCATAGTGTTTTCAAGGTTCCTTCATGTTGTAGCAAGTGTCAGTACCTCATTCTGGCTGAATGATAATCTATTCCATGGATGCTAGTACATTTTGATTGTCTATTGTCCACTAATGAACATTTGAGTATTTTCACTTTTTGGCTATTAGGAATAATGCTGCTCTAACTATTCATGTACAAGTTTCTGAAGGACATATGTTTTCATTTCTCCTGAGAGAAATAAAATGTTGGGTCCTATTGTAACTATGTTGAATCATTTGAGGAATTGATAGACTTTTTCAAAGCAGCTGCATGATTTTACAGGTCCATCAGCAATGTAGGAGGGTTTTGATTTCTACATATCCTTGCCAATACTTATTATCAGACTTTTGGATTCTAGCAATCATAGTGGGTGTGAAGTGGTATACCATGATGGTTTAGACTTGCAGTTCCCTGATGATTAATAACTGCATACCACCTTTGGATTGAGCATCTTTTCATGTGCTTATTGATTATTCGTATATTTTTCTTGGAGAAATGTTTATTTAGATTCTTTGTCCATTTTTAATTGGGTCAAATTAGGTCCAAAACTTGATTTGTCTTTATTATTGAGTTATAAATGTTCATTCTATATTTTGGATACAATGTATAATTTGCAAATACTCCCATTCTATGGGTTCTTTTTTCATTTTTTTAAAATATATTTTTATTGATTTCGGAGAGGGAGGGAGAGAGAGAAACATCAATGATGAGAGAGAATCATTAATCTGCTGCCTCCTGCACACCCCCTACTGGGGATTGAGCTCACAACCTGGGCATGTGCCCTTGACTGGAATCAAACCTGGGACTCTTCAGTCTGCAGGTTGACACTCTACTGAGCAAAACCGGCTAGGGCTTTTTTCATTTTCTTGATGGTGTCAATTCAGGTATTTTAGAAGGACTTGAAAAACTCTATTCATTCAAATCATCACACTTAAAAAAAAAACTTTTGCTTTGAATATAATGAAGAATATACTATCAATGAGGCATGGACTTGTAATTGTGTTTTTGTTGTTGGGTTGTTTTTGTTTTTGTTTCTCCCACAGTAGAAGTAAGAGATCACACTATTGGGATTAAAAGCAGGAGGAAGCTCACAAGTCAGGAGACCTGGGTTTTCTTCCTGGTTCTGTTAATCCCAGAATGCCACTTATCAAGTTAGTCCTCAACCCTCGGTCTTAATGACCTAAGCCATAAAATGTGGGGTTGAACTAAAACAGTGGTTCTAAAATATTCTTACTGAGTGGGAAACTTATTTTCAATTAAATGTTAAGTGAAGCCCTAATATGTAAAATAAGTGGATTTTCAGTTATATAAATTTATTATTTGAAACTCAAATTTATAATATTTCTGTATAATTCAGTCAATGAGCACAGGGGGATGATACTGATGCAAACATTTGAGACCCATGAATATGGGTGGCAGTTGGAATCTTCCATCACTGTCAATATTTAGTTCAGTTCTATACTCTGTCTTAACTTTAGAAAATTCCTATGTTTAGATAAATCACAAAGGATTTCTTGCAAATTGAATGAGTGCTTTAAAAGTTTGCTTTGCAATCTCATGATACTCTTCAATTAAACAAAGAGGGCAGAAGATTTATTTTTTTTGGTGCATTGTTTCTGTGATAAGTACTCTATGCCAAAATATCTCTCTTGAAAAGTAAACTTTAATCAAGCATTCATAGAATAAATCATATTAGCCAATCATCTACTAGAATATACCTTCCAGGTTCATAAATTTGAAGATTCATTTATAGCTTTTTCCCAGTCCCATTGGGATCATTTCTGATACTCTTGGGCTGAGAGGACCTCTTATGGTCACTGATTTGGTGAAGCTTGCTGAATCACATTCATTTTTCTTGCGAAAAGGTCAGACAGAAGAAGAGGAAAGGGAGAAAACAGCACAATTGATGGAAATAATCCCTCGCCTCAACAAAAATACCTCCTTCAGCAGATATGAAGGATTCTCCTGAACTAAGACACTCAGAAATCTCATAACAGAGGGTCTCCTGTTTTGAAGGTAGACACATCCTCAGGCTCCCCACAAACCCATAGTCCTGGAGGTACCAGCAAACCGCCAGTAGCGAAGTATGGATTTCACATGGATAGTCATGTGAAGATTCCTCTGATAAGGCACTGGGGTAGGGATCTCAGCCCCATACTCCTTTTTGAATGTTTTTCATAGTGGCTTTGCTCACCAGACATTTTAGTATATGAATAGGGGGGCCATATAAGTTGTCACCCAAACTGAGACACTGTGAGAGTGAGAGGTAATACTATCAATCATTAGCCTGAGACAACAGTTGTAAACCAGGCTGTTGCCAGGCAAACTGAGGTGAAGGGTCATCCTGGTTAGGAACCAGGTTCTCCCCAACAGAAGATAGTGCTAAAGAACAAACAATTGGCAGACACGTATCACCAATCTGGCAAAATATCAATATGTCTTCAATGAATCTTTACTAGTTTAACCTGAACCTAACTTTTTAATTTTTAAATGAAGCTTTTGAAATTTTTCTAAAATGTAAAGTGGTTAGTCAGCCTAAGGAGCCTCTGATATGTTAAGGGGGAAAAAAATCACTTCTGAATGCAGGGTGCTGACAATACGTAAGGGAATATAAAACAAATATGGAAACTGTAATGGTTTTACTAAATAGGAATTAATTAATACAATTTGTTTAAACTACAGCAATATAAAATAATTAGTCTGTACATTCTTGGAAACACATGTACATGTCAGTTATAGATGAATATTTTGGGGTTCTTATTTTATTGGTTCCATTTACTGAATGTTTAAATAATTTTTCTGTCCATATTATTCTATTTTATATTCCTTGACAGGCGAAGATCATTTCTGTCACCCTTTCTTCGTCCTTTTAGTTCTATTCATAGCACCATTTTATTTATTCTTCATATGGTAAACTCTCAACCCTGTATTAACTAAAATTTTTTTTACAAACTTATTGTCAAATCCACAAACACTTCCCTGATTACAAAGCATTTTTTTTATCCCCATATTCATCAGATTTTCATTCAAAGCTTTGCCATTTCTTTGTTATGTTATTGAATATCTGGCGGTTTGGGATCTCTTCTAAAGCTACTAGTCATTTTTTTTTTTGCCTCATATCTACATGTTCTTAACTAATCTGCTTTGATGGTATCAGTCTCATAACTATTTATTGTTAGTGAATATAAAAATATAATCCCTCTTTATAATTCAAGATATTCATGGAAGGTTGGTTATTAATGATATTGCCTCAATGAAACGTCCAGTAGTTACTTAGATATGGGTTTATCCATAACAGAATGGTTTATTATTTATTTTAACATTTAGCCTTTTGGAAATAGGAGATAATAGTCATATTAGCAGGAGGAAAGGATGCACAGGTTTGGTCTAATTTTTCGTTTTTCCATGACTTAAAAATACACTCACCTCCTCCAAAAGGGCCCCATATGACGCGGCGGATGGACTTCACCCAGTCTTCCATATCATGCTGGGTGCCCGCCATGAGGAGGTAGCTCTCATGATTTGCTGTCATCCGTTCTCGATCGCCCCCTGTAAGAAGACAGTCACACATGAGAGTGTGCTCAGCAGAAGATTACCCATCAGCAGCTTCCTAGGGAGTTCCTGACACACAGACTGTGCCTAAGGCAGCCAGCACTACGTTCTACCCAATGAATTGGAAATATTTACCATGATTTCAACACGGGAAAAAAAAAAAAAAAAAAAAAAAACCTGCTTAAAAAGGAAAGACACTTATGTTTCCAGGGGAAAGCTGGAAAATAAATACCATTCTCCAAACAAAGCCTGCCTTTTTGTCCTAGCAACTACCCATAGGCCTGCCTTAGCTCATAAGCCAGTCTATGCACGCTGCACTGCTGAAAAGGGAGAAACAGCAAAAGCAAAATGAAAGATGGAAACGTGATCTGCAGAGCCTGGGATTTTGTCTGAAGAAAGTGCATGCACAGCGAGTCCACCAACACCTCATGGGTGAGCTGGGGAGTTCTAGGAAAGCAAAGAGCCACATGAAAAACTTTGACCCCGAGGTCCTCCTCTATCACTCTGTCCTGGCAGGAAAGCCTTCCCCTGAGATCATACCTCCAGGGGGGCAAAGAGGAGAGAAGATACAATGCTGGCCAGTCACAAGGCCAAATCAGTGCCCCCACCCCTATGGGCCTCACACTGAAGAGTGAGATGTAGGAAACCTCAATGGTGCCTCCATGCCAAAGTTTGGTGGATTGATCAACATTTAATTTTCACTAAGTGTGCAAAATGTGCAGCCTTGAGTTGAATCAATTCATGTCCAAGTGCTTTGTTTTGTTAAGACTGCTGCTGTTTGTGTGTATTAAGATGCATCTCTATTCCTTTATGAGGAGCTTGCAGACTCCAATTTACAACACTGCTTTTTCTTTCACATCCAGTCTATTGCCCACATAGCTCTGAAAGCTATAGGCATTTGAGTTTGTGACCTCTGAATTCTATACAAATGCCCTAGGTTGAGAAATACAACTATTTTACCACTGCTTCAAATTTATAGAACAAGTGAAAGGTTAGAGAAGTGAAATAACCTTAAGCCAACCAAAGAAACAACTACATTGGTATTTTACATTTTAATACTACTGGGTGGAAATGGGGGAGGGACCAAGGGACATATCAAATAGGTTTCCTAATATCTACAGATCTCTGGAATAAAGAAGACTAGCCATCTCATATTTTAAAGAACATCTCATTATTAGGGAAACAATGACACTCTTACACCTTTAGGTGTATGCTAGGTCAACCATCACTTTAAACAACTTTTATCTGAAAAAGCACAGGTTCAGGAATTAAAAAAAAAAATAAAAACCTCCTAAGCCCTGGCCTAGTAACTCAGTTGGTTAGAATATCATCCCCATATACCAAGGTTGTGGGTTCAATCCCCAATCAGGGCCCACACAAGAATCAACTAATGAAAGCATAAATAAGTGGAACAACAAATCGATCTCTCTTTCTTTACTCCTCTCTCTCTCTCAAAAAAATAAATAGTAAAACACTTTTAAAAAAGAAAGAAAACCCTGCTGAAATTGTAGTTCTATCTTATATTAGTTGTTTGCCTTCTGGGAAATTATATAATTTCTGGAAACTATTTAGAAATAATAATCCCTATATAATAAACTTTCATGAGAATTAAATGAAATAAAGTAAAAACACCAGCACTATGTTAGGCTAACAGAGAAATTCTGTAAATATTAATTCGGTCTCATTTTACTGCCTCTCATCCCTAAAAATGCTAAAAGGTCATATTACACTTAATTTGAACTGAGAGATATTATGTCTAGTAAGTGCTTGAGAACAATTTGTCAATAGTACACATATACAGGGATTTTTAAAAGGCTACTTCTCTTTGATACATAACAATACACATAAAATTGTGTCCTGTATATGTATGTAACTATGCCATACATTAGTATGCATATTCCTGGTTGTATGCCACATAAAGCGGCAGAAAAAAACTGAATGACAAAAAAAGGTGCCTCATTTAGCATGGCACAGAACTATAGATTTAGTTTGCATTCTGATCCACTTACACTACAGCACTGGGCCAAAAAAAAAAAAAATTATCATTTGAAGTGAGAATATTTTAATTATTCTCTTTGCCAGAAGGATGGTTGGCAATTCAATTTGGACAGCAATATCCTGCTGTGTCACTCCTGGCCCAGGCAGAAGCAGCCTGGTAATGAGAGTGAGTGACAGCGGCTGCAGTGTTTCTGCCTGGAAGCAGAGAGAAAAGGAGAATGATGAGCACAACTGGCCATTATCCCCTGACTTTTCATGTAATTCTCTATCTCTGCGGGTGGTGCTGTGCGTCTCACCCTGAAGCTCATTTAGACTGCCAGTCACAGGTATGACAGCCCATCTGTGAATTTCACTCATGGACATAGAGCTTCAAGCCTTAGCGTATTAGCAAGAGAGGGGGAAAGACCAAGGAAGAAAGTCTCAGTGAGAATGCAGACTCATTGGTAAGAATGCGATGAAAACAACTGGAGACATCTATATAGATATAAACTAGATATTCTGTACTTAAAAAGATGTGATTTCTAACTGGAGATGCTATCTGTTCTAATTCATAACCCTTCAGTTCTGAAGGCCTGCTTCTGGTGCTGCACCTCACAATGGAAGGGGCTCAAAAACCACTTATTAAATACATGGTTAAATAAATGAATAAACTCAATATTGACTTCCAACCATGTGAATCAAGTTTTACTCTTGGTTAATCCTTTATGGGGAATTAATGATCCATTTAACCATTGTGAATCTCAAATTCTTTCCAAAGGTAAAGTTTTAAAAAGCAGCTTTGAGATTTATCACTGGAGGGAGTGTCATTGTCATCTTCAATCCACATATATGTATGTATCTATGTGTTTATGTCTATATTATAGCCATTATACACTCTCCATTCTTTTTTTTAAAATATATTTTATTGATTTTTTACAGAGAGGAAGAGAGAGAGATAGAGAGAAACACCGATGAGAGAGAAACATCAATCAGCTGCCTCCTGCACATCCCCCACTGGGGAAGTGCCCACAACCCAGGTACATGCCCTTGACCGGAATCGAACCCGGGACCTTTCAGTCTGCAGGCCGACGCTCTATCCACTGAGCCAAACCGGTTTTGGCGATTCTTAAATTCTGCTTCAACATAAATTCCTATGTAGTTTTATTTTTTATTTTTAATACTGCTTTCTATGAAAGTGGATTGTACACATTTTAAAGGACACAATGTATTGGTAAATTATATACAACTTTTAGATACTAACTCAGATTGGAAGTAATGCTTTGGTGATAATATTAATACTTCAAGCATTTGTGATTTGAAGTTAACTAAGTAGGTTACACCATTTAATTTTACTTGTTTATGTATGTAATTGAAAGGATTTGTACATTTCATTGGGATCTTCTGTATATTTGGATTAGATATAAAATTTTCTTTCCCAGAAAGAAAACATATTTTCTGAAATAAAATAAATAATTGACAGGCTTGATTTTGCAAATATTTAAATAAGATTAAGAAAAGTTTCATGAATTTAATAGATTAAGAAAAAGTTTAATCTAACATTAAAAGGCAGGCTAAAGAAAATTACATTAAAATAAAAGCACAGTTAATTAAAAACAGGAATACAAATATCCATTAACTATATGAATAATTACAAAATAATATTTTTAAAATAGTTTTTGATAAACAACTTTGCAAATAATTTATTATTATTATTATTTGCTTTAATCCTCACCCAAGGATATGTTTTAATTGATTTTTAGAGAGAGAAACATCGATGTGAGAAACATCGAATCTGCACCCTAGGTATATACCTTCACCAGGAATCAAACCTGTAACCATTTGGTGCATGGGACAACGCTCCAACCAACTGAGACATTGGACCATGGATGCAAGGACTTTTTTATATTTTTAAGAGAAGTATTGGAAATGGTATTCCAACATATACATACTCATTGTTTATAGGAGTATGAATAATATTCCTTATGATGCAGTCACTAAATTAGGGTTTTAAAGAATATTTATTAATATGAGTTTTTATTACACAAAAGGAAGGTATACAAAGTTTATATATATTATCTCAATTCCTATATAAGTAGACAGCCAGATAAATAAGATACTAGATTGAAATACACAATAATGTTAACAATGGTTATCTCTAAATGTTAGGATTAGAAAATGTTTTTCTCTTCTTTTGTTCTTTTCTGCATTTTCCAGATATTTACCCATTTGTTGTTACATAATACAGGTGTTATTATCATAAAAAAATTATTGAAAAGAACAAATGATAGGAATCATATAGTCAAGAAAGCACTAATAAAAAAAAAAATACAACATGAGCTGAAGATAATTATCATTACCCTCACTGAGTGTTGCCTAAGCTGGCTTACTGTGAAGTCTCACTAATTTACCTGTAACCTTCTCCCTCTCTTTCCCACACTGACCCAGAGCATTTCCCCAAGGGAAGGTTTGGGATGAGACCAGTGTTGCTCAAAGTGCAGATGACACCAGGTAACTGGGACCTCCTCAGTACAAAGGGGACTGCTACTATTATTGCATTACCTTTCTTAAAAATATATCTAAATAAATATTTTACTGAATTTATTGTGTGGAAATTTCCAAAAAAAAAAAAAATAGTCACCAAAACAGTTGTTCTTTTTTTTCTATGAAAAGCATTATTGTAAATTGTCAAAATTATGAACCAAAAAGCCAAACAATTACTTAGAAGTGATGTATTTATATGTGTGCCATCTCGAGCAAACAAACCTTTAAAGAGATACAGAGAATTATTTGTTTGTATTTGAATTTTAAAACAACTTGCTCAAGGGAAACTGTGGTCATAGGCATTTGGGTTCATTTCCAAACAGTTCATGAACAGACCTGAGGATCTTCCAGCGAATACCTCTGATACTGTTAATAATTTCAAGGGTGAACTGTTTCCTCATTCCCAGGTACAAATCAGGTTAAAGCCAGACCTATTATACTCTCAGTTTTATTATAGTTAAGAGAAAAATATTTTAATG